TGTCTTGCTTAGCATGCTGCGTGGGTTCTTCATTGGAACATATAAATACCCCTCAAGGGTCACGTAAAAAAGGTGATTGAAACCAACCCTAAGCTTTTCTAATCTTCGCTCTATTGGTAGCCCCGATTATTGCTGACTTAAGCATCGGAGTGTCTACCCCGAGATCCATCTCGGGGCTTTGCAGGTCAATCCCGAATGCAGATACGGAGTGAAGAAGAACGTCTGATTTGGTGCATTTACAATGAGGTTTCACTTCATTTACCTCCGAAAGCTCGTACCCTGCAGATTTCAATGTTCACTTGCATTTTCATTCATGGGAAAGCAGAAAAACAGGACTTCCCTGCAAAAAAATTGTCAGAACCTACTTCATAAAATGGTGCGTTTTACTATTTATTAGCCCCTTCTTTTTAACAGTAAACCCTTCTCATCTGAGCACAACACAGAGAACCAAAATCCTCTTTTCACCTGCTAATCGAAAAGGTTAGGACTGCATTACCAAAATCCTTTTCCTCCTCACTCAATCCATAACCAAGGGTCTGATCATAAATTCTTTGAAATTTATAAATTTTCTTTTTCGTTTCCATTTCAAGTGCGGGCTTGTGAAGGGGCCGCAGAATTTGGCATGATCAAGGGTTCACCAACCCCTTCAGAAGCCCCAACCTCATTTCTCACACTTTGATTCTAGTTTACATTTCTCTCTTTTCGCCAAAATTCCATGGGTATTCCCTTCATTTCCATTACGGGGCCCTTGTTTTCTTGATTTATAGCTTCAAATATCAAGTAAAGGCATAGGGTTGGGATGGGTATTTAGTGGTTTGAAATTATTTTTGATTTAGTTGCGCTTCGATTGGCGAAGAAATGGTGGCATCTCTATCTGATTTGTGGTGGGTTCATAGGTGAGTTTCTCGCAAAAATAAAACTCACTGTGTTGTGATTGCTGTCCAAGGCATTGAGATGGCAAGAAGGGTTTACAATGTTGGAACTTGAAAGAAGGGCAAATGGGATGCCCCACTAAAACGCACCATTTTGTTGAGAATGTCCTGGCAATATTTGGGCCAGTGAGTCCTGTTTTTCCGTTTTCTCTTCATTCATATCTCCATAATTCCATTGAGCCCTTTGCCTTTTGGGTTGGGTTTGGTAGGGTTGAATTTGGTTGAGGGTGTTAGACAAAGCTTACAAAGCAATTTGTTTCAAAGAATTTTTTTTTAA